TGTCCGCTGGTGCTGCCCACGCCGCAGTCAGCCCGGGGTTCGGGCGTGTTGGGTGCCGGCATAGCTCACCAAGGTGGGGTGCGCGGGGCCCGGAAGGGCGGCGTGTGGGCCGGGCCGGCAAGGGTTAACTTTGGGAGCCGCACCAGGGCAGCGGGGGACCGAGGGACCGAGGGCGGGAAGCGCCCGCTGGCGTCTCGCCAGGCCTCCTTGGCCCCTAGAGCTATGCCTGGAGAGAGCGTGCGGACTCGAGGGCCACGTGTGGCGCGGCGGCAGCCGGAGCGGCCCACCCTGCGCTTCCAGCTTGCAGACCCCGGGATTGCGGCCTCGCATGCCCCTTGCCCCACCCCGGGATGCGCGCGTCTTGACCCTCTCATTCCCACCTGGCGGGTACTCAGCCAGATGCTGAACAGGCTGGGGCGGCTAGCGCGGGGTCTGTGCCCAGTTGCAAGTTTTCTACCTCTTCCCGCGGCCTGGGCATCATGGAGAGAGCAAGGAAACAAGTACCAGAAAACTCCAATTGGAATAGATGGCTTGCTAGAAGGAGAGTTAAATTCCCCGCGAGGCAATTCCATTCCATGAAAAGAATTAATGACCAGCTGAATCCTAGAAACCATACGAGGGCGTCCCACTTGCCAGCCTCTTACTCTTTCGCCTTCCGGGATGGGTTGAATTATGAACACTTATTCGTTAATGCTAAGTTACCTGGTGTGAGCAACCAAGGTCCTTGCTGGATTTGCAAGAGCTTTGGTAGCGAGTTGAATCATACAGAGTGCTCCCACGGTGCCTTGAGCAAGAACAGGGTGGGCACAACAGAGTGACCAGGAAACGAATGAATCGTGCTTTTCTACTTGTGGGAGGCTACAAGAGAATTTTGACACTGTGCAAATAGAAATTTGAGAATTACTCTGTGGTGTCGATTACTCATCTCTCTATATCCCCATTTCTGAGTTGGAGATGTGTCTGAGGAGCATATTTAGTCTTAAAGGGCAAAGGGACTAAATATAATTTTAAGGCAGCCACTAAAACTTCAGTAGCAGGCTTTTCAGCAAAACCTACATTGAGAGATATTTGTGTGTCACACTTCTAGTTGATGACCACAGGCTTTTACTAGCCAGTCTCAAGCATTGCAACATTTTATCTGTAGTATTTCTCAGGATGCAGGTCTTTGGAGTACTCTTTTCCTTTCTCTGAGGGCATCTTCTACACCTGCTTTATTAACAAATTCCTACCTTCCTCCAATTTCTAACATTGGGTTATATTGATCAATAAAATAGATATAAATTACTATGAGTTGGTAAATCTTACAGTGATACATTTCTCCTTTATTTAAAGGAGGGAATGTGACACCCAATTACAGAAGAGGGAGAACCTCCTTTAAGGGAGTAAAAATAAAATAGTTCATTTGGGGGTATTACTTTGGGATTTATAGAGAAGATGGTCATCTTGAACACCTCACTATTTGCTTTTCTATCTTTCGAAGATGCATTCTTGAGTGTATTTCTTTCTGGCAACATCTGGGCAGCCTTAGACCTTTGTTTTCATATTCATTCACAACACATTCTTCTAAAGGCTCATGCACAGTGACAACCAGCACGCTGGTCCCTGCCAATCTATCATGGGCTCCATGAGAACATTTATTATTCTTGAAGAAGCATTCTTAACACTTTATTGTATTAACAAACCACTTTAAAAATCTGACAAAAACTATGGAATATGCGAAACAAAAATATGCACATTAACACAGAATTCTGCCTACAAATTCAGGAATTCACAGTCTCCTCAATACCCAGCCACCCAAATGTTAGTCATCCAGAGACCCCAGGCAGGCCCTACTTCATGGAAACACAAACTGTGCAGTCATTCAGGGCCTTATACTTAGAAGGGCCCCACAGTTGGTTTAATGTTCTACTTATTGAATCTCAAAGATACTTCCTGAATTAAATTGGTAATTGAGTCCATTAAATTGTACTAAATTAAATTCGTCCAAAAATTGAACAATGAGAATCAAAGTCAATGACTGAAATATTTTGAGGAGGTGATCCTTTTTGCTTCATTTAAATTTTTAAAAATCTCCCTTTTCAAAATCTTGAACAAGTCGCTCTTTTATATATTCTAGGAGACACCTAGCAATACGAAGTACACCTAGTCCCTTACCAAGCTGTCTTCACCTCCTGTAACACTGGGGGAGAAACAGAGAAACTTTGGGCATATCCTCTGTCCCCTTAATCTCTCTGACCTCAGAACTTTATACAAGCTTTCATTCCCAGCATGATAGCAACACGCTCAGCAGGACTGAGGAAGAAAACAGAGTGAAAGGAAATGGGTCAAAATCCCACGTTAAAGTCTTATGAGGGGGCACTCAAAGAGATGGAGCATCCTTTCATGCAATTACTCTGATCAGAGGCATGCTGTATACTTTAGGAAATGAAGTACCAAGTCCTGTCCTCGATGGACTTATGGCATCTTTGACAAGACAAAATATGTAAATATAAAGTGTTAATTAATACAGATAAGTTGTTACAAGGCAACATAAGATTTGGCACAAAATGAATGATAGAGAAAGTAAGTGCAATGAGCTCCCGAGAAGAGAATAAGATAAACTGAAGTGGTTCCTCTACTAATAGAGATTAATGAATGAGTCATCTGTGTGGTGAATGTGAGGAAAAAAAGTGAAAATTTGGACAGGGCTAAAGTTCTATGTAAAGAAAAGGTGGGAAATAAAACTGAAAGTGAACTTTCCAATGGCTAGCTTCATTCATGTAGAAAATAATGATTAAGCCCATTTTGTGACCAGATATCGTGCCAGTTTTACAGCATTTAGTGTTGAAAGGAATATGGAGAAAAGCATATTTTTTTCTTCATATTGCTATGAAGAAAAAAAAACAGGGGCTGACTCAGATGGTGCTCTGGGAAGATCTCTTTGACAAAGAAAGATTTAAATCGATATTTGAAAGAGTCATAGGGGTCAACTTGGCAAAAAACAAATAGTGGAAAAAGCAATCTGGGCAGAGGAAATAGCAAATAGGAAGGCTGTGAGGAGAGAAAAAGGCTAGCAGGGTACAAGGGACAGAAAGAAGGCACGTGTGGCTGGAGTTGTGTGAGGGATTTGCTGAGAGGCTGGATATGAGTATGGGAAGGTAGGTAGTAGCCTGGCCGTGCAAAACTTCACAGACTTGGATAAAGATTTTGAATTTCATTTTAATGAGAAGCCATTGAAGACTTTGAAGCCAGAGACTGTCTAATTTATATTTTAAAGAGATCTTTATGACTACAATAAGAGAATGGACTAGAAGGCTTGGAAGCAGGAAACCATTTAGGACAGAGAGCAGGCAACAGTACTGACAGGGAAGATTAAGAGAAAAGGACAGACTAGATGCATTTTGAAAGTAGAACTTGGTGATAGAGTGGATGTGAGAGGTGGGTGAGGCAGAAAGCAGTGTGAGAATAAATTCTTTCAGTACATACTGTTAAATGTTTTTATTCCAAAACAAAAGTCTCCAATGCATATGATTTAGTTTCCATAAGAAGAACTGAAAAATGAATGAAAACTGCTAACCCTACTTGGTACCTCTTGAAAGTATACCAGGCTGTTGAGTAGAGCTGAGAGAGAGGAGGAAGGAGGCTTTTCATACTATCATTTGTACTGTTAGAATTATTTTTAAACTATGCATGCATTTTATATATTTTTTAAAGGTTCCCACCACAACAAATATGGCACTTATTTTTCTGGCTTGAGCATGTGGATAGAATAAGGAGTAATTTCTTAAAATGTCAAAAACTAGGAGAGAAAGGCCTGATCCTCACCAAAGTGATTATTCTGAAACATAACTCACTCAGCAAAAACCTTTCCAGTCTTCCTTGTTGTCTATATCAGTGTTTCCCAAAATGTAGTCTAGGATCACTAGTTTCTTAGGATATTAATAACAGTTAAGTGAAGGGAAAAAAGCTTTTCTGATCATATAAGCTTAAGAAACTTTTGATTTAACCCAGTTAAGCAGTTTTATTGCAGGAATCCTCAGAGCCTTTAATATACTAATGCACATTAAGAATCTTCAAGAAAGAAGAGATATTTTATGCCATACTTCCTAAACTTGTTTGACCTTGAAATGCTCTTTTTGGCAGAACATTTAACAGATTCAGCATTCAGCATAACACGCTTTGGGAAATGCTGCCCTATATTAATAGATTAAACCTCTTAACATCCACAGCTCTCTATTAACCATCAACTTCTCTTATGTTTTTCATGCTATGTAGTTGGAAGAAAGCAGGAGACCAGAACTGACTCTGTTAATAGGCTTTAAATTGATGATGAAAACAATTCTGCTATATAGATAAGAGGTAAGGAGAGATTCACAAGGAAGCTCTGCAGTCTGATGAAAAACTTCTTTTTAAAAAATTTCTACTTTCTTGGTAAGGCTATGCAGGACCTCTCTAGATTTACTCGTGAGGAACCTGAGGCGCAAACAGTGGGGAAGACTTCACCGGGCCTATGTGTTCTGTGGTAGGCTTGGGCCTTATTTGATGTTTGTAATATATCTCCTGCAGAGCAACACAATGTGAATACATAGGGTATGTGTGCAGGAGCAGTGATATTGCAATGAATTGCCTACATTTTCTTTCCTGGTCCCCAATTCATTTGCATGGTGGTGGACTGGAGTCAGGAATGCAATCTGTGATCAAAGAACAATGCAACAGAGCCAGACAGAAGAAACAAACTCACACAGCTATGAACTTGGCCATGGCTTGGTTCTCTTGCCCAAGGATCAGCAAACTATGGCCTAAGGGTCAAATATGGCCCCAGCTTGTTTTTGTATATCCTTTGAACTAAGAATCGTTGTTATAGTTTTTAATGGTTGGAAAAAAATCAAAAGAAGAATAATGTGCTGTGGCAC